TGTTGGACACTGTCGTTAGAGATCGCTGTGAGCAGGATTCGAACCTGCGAGGGGAAACCCCATTGGATTTCGAGTCCAACGCCTTAACCTCTCGGCCATCACAGCTGCTGGGGTTTATGTCTGAATAAAAACCTGAAGGTGGGACTTAGAGGGAAGGAAGGTGAGAGTGTTGGAAACATGGATGAGAAACTGAAGAGAGGAATGAAATGGATGCAGACACTTGGAATAACTTATCTTATTGAGATAAGTATTCAAAACTGGTTTTAGTCTTTGGATTCTTTTCAAATACAACAAGACGGAAGGACTCACTTTATGTTTTACTTGAGTATACAGGAAATTTATTGGTTTATTCTTTTAAACCAACTGATTCTCACAGTCTAGATTTGCTGTGAGCAGGATTTGAACCTGCATGGGGAAACCCCATTGGACTTTGAGTCCAATGCCTTAACTGGTCACCCATCAAGCTGCCCAACCCCCAGTCACAGGAAAAATAAATCCAACATGATCCAAGCCAGAGGTCACCAAGTCCTGTAGGGTCGCCAGTCTGGAGAAACTGGAAAAACACGCAAATTAAGCCACCAATGAACATAACTGCTATGTTTGGATTACATGAGGAAGCCAGAGTACCCAGGAAGAACGCACAGATTCAGAGAGAACATGCAAACTGCAAGCAAAAGGAGCTTCAAACTCTGAAATAACATTTAAAAGGAAATAATTTTCACTCAAGGCTCAAGAAGTTAAAAATAGTAATAACTTATAATACATAATACAAGAAAACCACCAGAAACATAGAAATTTATTTAAAAATAAAAAAACACACAAAAAAAACCCATATTAATTCATAACTATAATTAAAGTTTATTCAGATTTCTAAGCTCTAAATAACCAGTTTCAGATTCAGGAGCACAACATGTCTGACAGTTAAAAAGTTATTTAAATCATTTCAGTAACTCTCTGGTTCTGAAAACCTGAAGAGAAAATAAAAACATCACTTTCATACAGTTTATCTACAGTGTTGATATAAATATCTCTAAACCAATAGTTGTTATTTTTCACTTTTTATGTATTTTAGTGAAATATCTCATTTTAAAGTATCACTGTTTTGAGAGTTTGTTTTTTCACATATTGACTATACTGTCCATTTAGACAAATATATGATTCAATCACTGTGAACATTGTGAACACTTGCACATGAGGAAAAAACTTTATGTGCAAAGTTTGTTCCTACACAATATTAGGAAGCTGTATTTTCCAAAATCCTGGTAATTTAAATGTATTTTCATAGTAAAACCTTCCCAGACTGATTAATAAATGAGTCGCTGTGAGCAGGATTCGAACCTACGAGGGGAAACCCCATTGGATTTCAAGTCCAACGCCTTAACCACTCGGCCATCACAGCAGGATGTTTAATAATGTAATCAAGGAGCAAAACATGAGAGATAAACTTAAAATCTACATGAATTTCAGAAGATTAAAACAAACAAAGGGAACAACCTGAGATTTGATAAACGCAGGTTAACATCTGTGAAAGTCAACAAACGAGTTCATGTCCACTTTAGTTTAAGATCTTATATCTGTTTTGGGTTTATGTGGAAAACACATATTTAAACACAATGTGGAGCAAATGTAATACAGGCTTTTCACACTTAAACCTTCATTTATGTGATCTACTTACACCTTTTAACAGTTTCCACATCGCTGTGAGCAGGATTCGAACCTGCGTGGGGAAACCCCATTGGATTTCGAGTCCAACGCCTTAACCTCTCGGCCATCACAGCTGGATGTTTAACAATGTAATCAAGGAGCAAAACATGGATGTAACAAGTCAGTGGAGTAACAAGGCAAACATGAAGCTACCACAACATGGGTGCACTAAGTAATCAGTTGTCTATCTGGTGAGCAACTTCAGGTGTGTTGGACACCGTCGTTAGAGATCGCTGTGAGCAGGATTCGAACCTGCGAGGGGAAACCCCATTGGATTTCGAGTCCAACGCCTTAACCTCTCAGCCATCACAGCTGGATGTCTTCTAACCCCATGAAGAAGCAACAAATGAATGTATTACGGAAAAATAATGGCAAAGATGAAATAAATCAGGGTTTTCCTGCAGCTTTTCAGCACAGATTGATCAGACAAACCTCTCATCATCTGATCTAGAGTTGCTGGACACTGTAGTTAGAGATCGCTGTGAGCAGGATTCAAACCTGCGCGGGGAAAACCCATTGGATTTCGAGTCCAACGCCTTAACCTCTCGGCCATCACAGCTGGCTGCTTAACAATGTATTAACGGAGTAAAATATAAAATATAAAGCCTATCTCTGCACCAACATCTCAGTAACACAGATGAGTAACAGGACTCTGGAGAACTTCACTGCCAACCGAGGAATGATTAGTCATTTGATTCATGTTGGTTGGATCAGTGGCTCATCTAAAAGTTGCTGAATGAATGGACAACACAGAGACTAACAGGAAAACACCAAATGAGAGCAACCAATTAACCTCAAAGTCATACAAACTTTTCCCAGAGAGTAATCTACAACAAGCAGAAAAGTCAAACTGTGTCTGGGCTGGAGACAAATCTAAACTGGACCAAATGGGGTCACTGGTTTCTTGATTTATAAAGGAAGTTGTGTTTGCAGGGTTTTCCCCTCCAGCTCAGCTCCAAAATGAGAAAAATAAGATTTAGGATGACGATACAGGAGGGAAGATTTTTCACATATCCTGACTTAACAATGTCGATTGTGACTAAAATAAAAAACTAATCAATTTAATTTATGCAAAGTTTTTACAGTTAGATGTTCAGTATCTTCATGCTTTATGTAGCCACATGTAAATATACACAATAAGCCTTAAAATAATGTATTTATTATTGGTGTAGCCAAAAAATGCCTCCATTTCCAAATGTACTTTAAAAAACTGTCATGTTTTTGTTTTTCTGATTCAGGGTGGAGTGATTTGGTATCAACCCTCAATAGACCCTTAAAACGCCGTGAAACTGCTGCAAATCCAGCCGAAGCTGCTGAAAAATCAAGTGAGTTTTTCTTTTTCCTCGGATGAAAATTCACATTTTACCCAGATACAGGTTTTAGAAATATAAAGTGATTTAAGAAATACTTCACAATATATTGATACTCTGTTTTTATTTCCCAACAGGGGAGACCAGTTTAGAGGTGAAAGAGAATCGAGAAGTGATTGGGATTAGTGACTTTTTCAGCAGATATCAGCCATCAGCTGTTTGTGCTGCTTCCTCCAAACATGAGCAGAGAAATCCGCCGTTTCTGTTTGGAAAAGGTCGTTTGTGTTTCCAGAAGCCGTCATGTTGTAAAACATCAGCCTGGACAGAGTCTCAGAGGAACGCAGTGGTGCAGCTCAACCAGTTACGGCCCGGCTTGCAGTATGAGGTTGTGTCTAAAAGAGGACCTCTGCACGCCCCGCTGTTCTCTGTGGGAGTGGAGGTCGACGGTTTCCACTTTGAGGGTCAGGGAGCCTCAAAAAAGCAGGCGAGGATGAAAGCAGCTGAGCTGGCTCTGCAGTCCTTCATCCAGTTCCCGAACTTCTCTCAGACTCACACCGTCAAGGAGACCTTTGATTTCACAGCAGATTCTTTCCTAGCAGAGTTTGAACCGTCGCTGCTTGAAAACTGTGATTTCCTGCACAACAAGACGGCAAAGACGGAAATGTTTCCCAACGTAAACAAGAACAGAAAAACTCATCATTTCACCCTGGACTTAGTTTCCTCAGCAAGTCCTAAAAGGCAGCTGAATCCGGTGGCGATGCTCAACGAGCTGCGACCGGGACTCAGATACCTGTGTCAGGTGGAGAGAGTCCACGGTACGCCAGTGAGGAACTTCATCATGGTGGTCAGACTGGAAGGGAAGGTGTTTGAAGGTTGCGCTCACAGTAAAAATCAGGCCAAGATTCAGGCGGCGGCCGCAGCCCTACAGGCTCTTTACTGCATGAACCTGGAACCAGAGAGGAAACTGATCAGCCTCCATGGAGGCAGGACCAAATGTCAGCTACCTCAGGTAGGCACATCTGAATTTAAGTTTATTTTCCTATTAAAACGCAAAGACTTTGTTAGTAAATCTAATCTGTCACCAGGAAGGAGCCAGAGTATGTTTGGCTCATACTGACAGTTAAAACATGTAGGAAATTGCAAAGATTTATTTCTTAAAAAAACAATTAAAAGTGGCAAGGTTGTAGAAGAAACCTCAGGATGATTTAAAAAGACAGAAAACATTTCTCAGACTTTATAAACAAACATGAAGAAAATTTAATTTTGATGAAGCCCTGCTACACTGCAAAAATACAAAATCTTACCAAGTATTTATGGTCTAGTTTCTAGTGCAAATATCTTAGTGCGCTTGAAATAAACAACTTACAAATAACTTTTCAGGAAGATATGGGAGCTTGTTTTAAGTAAGTAATTATTAAATATTAATGAAAAACTACTAGTTCCATGGAAGATTATTTCACTTANAACANGGAGAAAATATCTTGTTATAAGTTAAATAATCTGCCAATGGAACTAGAACTTTTTCATCAGTATTAAGGTATTACTGACTTTAAAAAAAACTCCTATATGTTGATGAAAAGTTACATGTAAGTTAGTTTTATCTTGTGTCAAGTTTAGTAAGATGTTTGAACTAGAAATAGACAAAAATACTTGGTTCAGAGTTTGTGTTTTTGCAGTGTAAATCCATATAGCAAAACATTACAGACACATTTTACTCACCTTGAAGCTCAGAATCAGCTTCATGCCATGATGTGAGTTTGACCCTCATCTCTTCAACGTTCTCCACTTTCCTAAACTGCCCAGTTAGATGAGTCTGAGGTGCATCGTACGCCAGGCAGATGAATCGTGCTTTGCATCAGTTTGGCCCTGAGGATGGTGGACGGTGCCATCTCTGCGCCTCTGCAGCATCTAAACAGCTTCATTATGAGCTGAAATGTCCCTGTTCTCATGTTGATTCCCAGAGGCCGAGGTGGGAAGGGGCTCAAATGTGCAAAACAATGTCAAAGGTCAATGTGAAATTGGTAACTGTTTATTTGAAGGAGTGTGCATAACACTGACATAAACATGAAAGAGTCAGTTTCCACTAAGTGTCATTTGGAAGATAATGATGCAAAGCTGCATCAAAGTCATGAATGACTCTTCATGACGACATTCATGAAGATTCATTCATGTTCGTAACTGGTGTGATGCAGAGGTGGGTCCAAAAACTGTTCTCAAGCAAGAGCAGCAAGACTTCCACATAGTTTTACTCAAGTTAAAGTAAAGAGTAGTTATCCAAGAAATTACTAAAGTAAGAGTAAAAAAATATTTGGTAAAAGGTCTACTCAAGTTCGATCAAGTTATCAGTTATTCAGTATTTTAAAATGACATCATCAGACGGACCAAAATATGAAGTTAATTGGAAATTTTGGTATTTCAAGGACAAAACTAACAATAATTAATATATCAAGTATCAAAAAATAACAAAATCAGGCAAAAATAAATTTTTTTCCAAATTAACAAAAACTTATGAAACTTTAACAAAAACAAACTTTCATTCAATGGGTGGAAAATCCAGAAATTTTACTTGAGAAAAAGTAGAGATACTTTATAATAAAATTACTTAAGTAAAAGTAAGAAGTACAGCACAGTAAAAATACTGCTAAAAGTAAATTTTTTCACAAAAGTTACTCAGGTAAATGTAATTGTGTAAATGTAACTCATTATATGTTGCATAACATGTTTATGTCAGTCTTTTGCACACTGTCAAATTTATTTATATAGCTAATGTCCAATGGCTCAAACTGCACAAAATGCTTCACAAAATAAATGCAAACAAGGAAAATACACAACAGTGGCACAACCAAATATTTAAAAAAAAAATTAAAAAGGCAATAAAACAACAGGAACAAACCAACAATTAACTGTAACATGTATAAAGCCAGTTCATAAAAGTGAGTCTTAAATAGTGATTTAAAAAGATCATGTGTCTGTGCAGATCTAATATTTGAAAACAAAAATATATAAAAAGCTTATTAAAGACTGAAAGAGACAAAGCAGTCTAAATTTAGTGGTCTAAATTAGAAAAACTTAAAAAAGCTGCAGGCTTTGTGCAGAGCGTCCTGAGACTGTTTTTCCCCTGCTTCAGTTTCCGTCAGGCAGCGTGACGCATTAATGAACATTACTGCAGCGCATTAGGGATGGAGCAGCAGCAGCAGACCAAGGAGACGCATGTGGAGCAGGAAGACTGTGTGAAGGGCAAAACGATCATCAGATAATTGTTTATCTGACAGAAAACACTGAGAATCAGAGAAAATATTGTTTTATTTACAATCAATCTTCAAAAACACAAAGTCTTACCAAGTATGTTCAGTTTAGTTTCTTCTGCAAATAACTTAGTAAACTTGGAATAGCAGAAACTCAAAACAAAGCTTTTCAGAAAGATTTAGTCAATAATTCCTTAATAATGATGAAAAGTACTAGTTTCACTGGCAGACTGTTACGCTTATGATAGTGAAAATGTCTTTTAATAAAATCTGTCAGTGGAGCCAGCACTTTTTCATCAATATTAAGGAATTACTGACTTAAAACAAGCTCCAGTTTCTTTCTCAAAAGTTATGTATAAGTTAATTTTCTCTTATTTAGAATGTAATAAGATATCTGCACTAGAAACTAAATAAAATACTTTTGTGTTTTTGCACAAACGTTTTAGTTTATGAATTAACTTTCCTTCTGTAAAACGATGAACGGTAAATTATTTAGGAATTACCTTTCAACCCTTCCCAGATTTATTGGCAGCCTAAGTTGCTTCTCTTATGTATTTTGTAAAAAATATACAGTTAATGATGCAAGTATTCACACTGCTGGCATGTTTAGATTTCTCATTATTTTTCATTCAGGAGCTGTGTTTCCAAAATGAGGCAGGCATCTCAAAAGATAATAAATAAAGTTTGAAAAGTTTCTCAGTTTACAGTGATTCCGGCGGTTGGATTATAATAAATACATATTTAACCTCAAGAAGACAAGAACTTGTTTGTTGTGCATCATCCTCTTTCAGCTGTAACATTTCTTCTTCTGCAGTTTTTTGTAGAATCAATCTACCGCCTAGTAAGAGAGAAATACTCCCAGCTCAGTGACGGCTGCTCCTCTTCCTCTCACGGCCGTCACAAGGTGCTGGCCGGCATCGTGATGACCCGAGGTGAGTGAAAACAAACGCAGGAATCCGAAATCTGATCTGAGGTGGAATCTCTCTCATTAAATAAAAGGAATAATCTTTAAAAATCTGTCTCTAGCTTTTAGCTTCAGGTTGTCTTGGCTTCCATGTTTCTCTTTGATTCGTAGTATTTGGATTTTTTTTCTTTTGCAGTAGCTTGTTCTGTCCTCTAGGTGTCGTCAGTTGTGTCAAAAACTCATCTGCAGTTTTTTTTTTTATCTGATTTGATCAGTTTTGGGTTTTCTTTGTCTCTCTAACCTTTGATTATTTCTGTTTTGCTTCAGCAGTTGATTTTTTCTGACATTATCATCTTTCAATTTATGGTTTTCAACTGTGACTAACTTCAAATCTGCCAAATGAAATTTTAAGACTGATTAGGTATTTAAAATGATTGCAATTAATATTACAAAACAACTGAAGACATAATATTTTCTATCTTCTCATCTAAATAGAGTTCTTTGCCATCATGTTTTTGCTCATACAAATCTTTAAATGACGAGTATTTAAAGATACTCGTCTTTAAATACCTGAAATACCTTTCACACCTTTCAGCTGTGAAAGGTCTCTTCCAGCTTCACAGAAAGAGACCTAAAGTTATGGTCAGTCAGATTGGATGCAGAGCATCAGTAAACATCATTTTTCAAGTTTTTCCACAGATCTTCTTTTGTAAGTAGGCCTGGACTTTGACTGGCCCATTATAAAAGGTTTTGCCATGTGTTTTGTAGCATCTGACAGCTTTTCATCCAGAATTGTCATGTCTCAGTCCATCTTCCCGTCAAATTTAACACTCTCCCAGCCCATCACCTGCATATTGACCCCCAGTCAGTCATTATTTATCTAATTTTCCTCTTTTATTCTCAGGATTTGACCTCGGATCAGCCCAGGTCGTGTCTCTGGCCACAGGGACAAAGTGTTTGGACTCGGACAGACTGAAAGAAGACGGATGGACTCTCAGAGATTGCCACGCTGAGGTTCTCAGCAGACGGGCGCTGGTTCGGTTCTTCTACTCTCAGCTGGAGCTGCTGCTTTGGTCAAATCAGTTTTCTTCCTGTCAGCTCAGTTTTATCAAACATGGAGTTGGTCAAATATTTGAATTTGGGCATTAAAAAGTTAATATGATAAAGATTTTGCAAATCTGTATTATTTGAATTCATTTCTTGCCCTGTCTGTCTAGTTTAGTTTTGCTACTTTTAGAAATTGTGGAGTTTCACAACACACCAATATAATGCTTTAGATTATTATGCAGAGAAACTCGTATAAGTTTGTCCAGAGAAGCTTATAAATTATGGAGTACTTATACTTACTCAGTGACCCTGAACAGGAATTAGAACAAACTTCAGAAACTACTTCCAGAACAGGAACATTTAGTTTTTATACTTTAGATCATCATTTAGCACCATCTACTTCGTAGAATCAAACATGGAGGAAGAACATTTAGTTTTATGCCTACTTTTTTCCCTCTTTTTGATCTTTCCTGTGGTTTATTGTTTTGTTTGTNTTCCNTCCAGTNCATGTANAGCACTTTGAAATGCCTTGTTGCTGAACATTTTATATATAAATAAAATTACCGTACCTGTCTTACCTAACTCAGTTCAGCTTATTTGTGTAGTACTGCAGCAACAAGGCAGTTCAAAGTGCTTCACATCATAAAATCAGAAATAAAACATCACACTGTCATCAATTTGAGAAACAAACATAACATTTTGTTGAGTGCATCATAAAAATAATCAACACACATCATATATGTTCCTGCAGCTTTAACAGGTCTAATCCTTCACGGCTTAAAGTTTGTTTTAGGTTGTAAAACATAAAAGAATAAAACATCTTTTTGTTTTTTGTCCTCAAAGTGAGCGAACAGTTGGGCAGGACCCATCGATATTCGTTCCAGATAAAGACTCGACTAACCGTTTCCGACTGCAGGAGGGAATCCGATTCCACATGTACGTCAGCTTGTCGCCGTGTGGAGACGCTCGACTCAACTGCCCGTACAAAACCACACCTGCATGTGAGAAATCCCATAAAACCCATTAAGAAAAGGAATAAGTCAAGTTTATTTGTATCGAACATTTCAGCAATAAGGCAGTTCGAAGTGCTTCACATGATAAAAACACAGAAATACAAAGTCATCATGTTGGTTTCATTTGTTATGGTTCAAAAGCAAATCTAAGCTGGAGTGTTTCTAGTCTCAGTGTTTCAGCTGTTTTGCAGTTTTCCTTTAAATGAGGAGAACATAGGAAATGTTATGTCAGCAGTGGATGAGACCATCTTGCTCTGAACTGGTTTTCTTCTCTGTCAGATCCCAGCAGGAGGTTTCGCTGCCACCTCAGGATGAAGGTGAATGGTGGCGAGGGAACTCTGCCTCTCGTCTCAACCAGAACCAATCAGAAATGGGCCGGAGTGTCGCTGGGTCAACATGTCTGCATGGCCAGCATGTCCTGCACAGACAAAATTGCAAAGTAATTATATTCATTGTGTATTTTAACTTTCTATTACACCCAAATACCCAGTAAAATTAAATAAAAACTGTTTTGATAGATGGAGTGTGGTTGGCCTCCAGGGGGCGCTCCTTTCTCACCTGGTGGAGCCAATTTACCTGCACAGCCTGACAGTGGGCAGGCTGAGCCACACGGGTCACCTGGGCAGAGCCGTGACCCGCCGCCTGGCCCGGGTCAAGCACCTGCCGTCCCTCTACAGACGACAGCAGCTGCTCCTCGGCTGTAGGTTCACCTGAAACCAGCTGTCATTTTTACAACAACTCCTTAAACGTGGCACGTTCTGGAACCATGACAAGTTTCAGCAGTGGAACTGCAATGACACTGTAATATTACAAGACAGACACAAATGTAAAAGCAAGTATATGAAGCCAAAACTTTTGTGTGTCAGTGTGAAGTTAAATATGGAAGCCTATTTCTGCCATTAATTAAAAAAATTAAAGCTCAACAAGAAGTCATAAATTCAACTTTCAAAGAGATGGAAAGTCATAAAGTCGTACATATAAAATTTACATTCATAATGATGAGATTTAACATCACCCTGCCTCTTGCCCAGAATGTTAGCTGGAGAAGCAGTAGCAACCTTCCTGACCCCATTAGGGACAAGGGTGTATGGAAAATAGATGGATGGATAAAAAATGTTACATTATGTAATGTGTGTGACTATTTCCACTGATTTCTTCAATTTTCAAAAGAACGGTGACATAATATATTTTTTTCTGTCTTGAAGGTTTGAGCAGCACAGAGGTTTGTCCGGCTGGAAGAACAGGCGATGTTTGCGTGAACTGGAGTTTCGGTGAACGAACTCTGGAGGAGATCAACATCTCTACAGGGAGGAGCAAAGATTCAGGGAGTGTGTCACGAATATGCAGACGCTTCCTGTTCAGCTGCTGGCTGAGGCTGGAAAACAAGGTGATAACAGAAACTACTGCAGTTTCACTGAATGAACATTTATCTAATGCTCAAGAAAAAGATCAGACTAGATAAAACAAATAGTTTTATTATGAAACTATTGATGATTATGAACTCTTCAGTCTGAGAATTAGGAAAACTTAATAAAGTTTCAAGTTTCTGTCTAAGTTCTTTCTAAAATGTGGCAAATCCAGTCTTTGAATGTGTTTCCTTGTAACTAATTGTTCAGATTGTCAAATAAAAGGTGAGAGTAGAAAAGCATTTCGTGACTACAGGACCTGACAGGTTACATTGTTTGTGATTCGTTGGAAAGAGATCGGTTTGTTGATTAGTAAAAAGTCCCACATTGACAGTGACTGACTGCAGCTACTGTGTCAGAGGTAAACGAGAGAAAATACACAACATCCTGAGAGTCATGCAGTCACGTACAACAGTGTCAGCAAAGCCAGAAGTGGGGTTGATTGTAAATTTGGTCATAATGACACAAATTGGGCTTTAGATTGTCACTAAAACAGTTTTAAATTTGGTCACAACATTATCTCAACCTTCAGAGTCACCTGGATCACAGAGTTACAGTTACAGACAACACTCACATCTGGTTAAATTCAGAGTCCTCTAAACCCAAACAAACAGCATAAACTACTGAATCATTAAAATGTTACTTCTTACTTCTTAAAACTTTATATATTTTCATAAACATGTGGAAAAGGAAGAATTGAAAGACATAATTTTCAGTAACAAGTCCTGCTTTCAGGAAATTAGTGTCTAACCAACCCTGCCTCTCAGCTGACAATTTTTAGTAGAAAAGTAAGAAATAGAAAGGTTTGTTGTTGTCTCTGTGGAGAAATTCAGCAGCATTGGGGGCATGGAGAAGCAGAGTTTAATGTAATATTTTTTTCTATCATGTAAACTGCCATGTTGCTGAAATGTGCTTTACAAAGAAACTTGTCTTGAGTTGCATTAAAGAAGAAGTTAAACTCCTGACAGCCTGTCACTGCCGGGAAAACAACTGTTTTCTCTGGAAGTTATGGAGGCGTTGCACAAGATCCCTCAACATTTTATGCATCAGTAGGTAATTTATGAACAGACTTGTTTGTTCCTGGCAGTGATACCTTCAGGCATTTTGCTGCTTTGGCAATCAGTGAAGGATGTAATTCCAGGACTCCTTGAAGATTCCTTTACCTCTGGTTTAAACTGGAATAACATTCTCTCTGCTGAAATTTGTGACTGAGTCGGTTGAGTCGAGAGCACTGGAAGTTACAATAAAACCCTCAATCAGAAGGAGCTCAAAGAATAACAGAACAGAAGAAGAAAAAATAACAACTAAGCTCTTTTTGAAGGAATAAAGTGAGGAGAGAGTTCTTGATTTTCCAGTCAGTTAAAATTGCATGAAAGAATAAAGTACCATCCACGACATTATTGCCCCTAAACAGCTCTTTTGGATTGTTGTTCAGCTCAGTAAAATTGTCTACATAGGTTCAAATACTTGTCTGTGAGATCTGCAGACAAGAAGACAAGTACAGACAAATACACAGACACAGAGAAGCTCAAGATTAGTCATCTATACTTTATGTCTTCAAGAAGATATAAACCATCTCTTCCAATTCAAGAGCCAGGTTAAAGGCTCTTACCTACTTCAGCCTCAATATTGTTGAGAAAATAAATTTAAAATAAGCTAGTTTTAAAACTTAGCATGTCTTGATTCAAATGGCCTAATTGTGGTTTTGAAATCAGTAACGTATTCTGACTTTTTGACCTTTAATTTACCTGTAGTTACAGCAGATGGTTTGCTAGGATCGTTTGAACTGCCTTTTGTCTGAGTGGAAAACTCAGACAAGAAGTTGTAGCTTTTCACACTCATCTGTGAAAGGCCGTAAACACGGCAGGGGGTTCTGGCTTGAGAGAGGGTCAGAGATAGCTCCTGGTTGGATGAGCAAAGATACGCCTTATTTGAATAAATTAAAGATAAGAATACGCCTTCACTATAAAACTTTCTAAACAAAAGAAGTAACACATTAGATTTACTCTTGCAACTCTCCAAAGACGTCTTTGCTTTTCTTTCTTTCTTCTTTCCATTTATGTCAGGTAAATGAATGTATGTCTCCGTTGTTCTACAGTTTCTGGTGTAAGTTTATGCATTGTCTTATATTGGATTAAACTTTGTAATTCTGTGACGTCAACACGCATTGCTGTCGTTTTCCTTGTGGCTACACGTGGCTCGCCGAGAGGACCTGGGATTCAGAGGAAGAGAGAGCCAAACTTTTTTCAAAGTTAACTAATTTAGATATTCTTCCTTAACAATATGTACTGACTGACCTAGGAGATGTACAGCTCTATGGCTGTTTACCCCTTTTCTGTTTGAAGGTTGATATGTTTGAGGGTGAGACTAACTTCAAAAGATTTTTGAATGATGTTTTTGGTGACTTTGGAAGCTAGTTTTTAGCAACCAGGGTTCAATAACCATCAATGCAAATTTTCAGAGCATCTTTTGGTCATTTGGGGTGGGATGAGCAAAACGTAGCTACCTGGAAATGGTTTACTAGTGATGGCTTTCATGGTCTAGAAAGCCTAAATGATGGGCCATCATTTAATGATGGCCTAAGAAGCCATCGTTACAAAATACAAAATATAATTGGTCTTGAAATCCTTTCCTTACCTTTTGGGTTGATCAGATAAACAGCAGAATTTGCCATCTTCAAACCCAAAGAAGTTCTAATGCTACCACTGTCAACATTCAAGGACATGTCTCTCTTCAAATTTATAAGGACAGTGAATTTCTCACTTATTCAGTAAGCTACTTTCTTCTTCTTCTTTTACAGCTAAACACTCCTGTTTTGGGTCCTGGAGCCACCACAATGACTTATCCCGCATCCAAGATGGCTGCTAGGCGCT